TAAACCCTATATCCTAAATCCTAAATCCTAAACCCTATACCCTAAACCCTAAACCCTAAACCCTAAATCCTAAATCCTAAACCCTAAACCCTAAACCCTAAACCCTAAACCCTCAACCGAGGGGTCGCCGCAGGACGATTTGGCTTACGGAGGTCCCGTTGCTGTGACCCAGTCCCCATGGCTCTACCTAAGGCTCCATACACTTGTATAGTATATTTAGGGTTTAGGGTTTGGGGTTCAGGGTTTAGGGGGATACCGCACAGCTCCTGATCGGGTCTTGGGCTTTCTGGGGGAGGGTTTCGGCTTTGGGGGCTAAGGTTTGGGATCTCGCTACAAGGGTCCAGAAGCCTTAGGGTACTCAGGGCATTTAATTTAGTATGCTCTAAGGGGTCTATATGGAAAGGGTACCACAGAGGTTTAGGGTTTAGAGGCGTACCCAAATAGTATATACTGAGGCCCCAGAGGGACTGCTTCAGGGCCGAAGCATATTCTGTGTGGTCACTGCACCTTTAGGATCTGCTGAATTCACCATTTTGCTTCGTAAAGATGCTGCAGCTCAGAATGCTCTCCGGGGAAGCCGTGACGAGCATAGCTGTGGAGGAGGTACAGGATGTCAAGGGCTTGAAGCAGCATCTGAATCGGCTGCATGGCCTCCCTCCACGATTTAGGCAAAGGATTCTCTTCCGCGGCGAGACTTTGAAGGATACTGTGACTTAGTAGCTGAGTGAGTACACTTTACACTTTTAGGGATTATATGATCCCTTATAGAACTGAAAGTGTACACTGTTTGGGGGCTAGTGAACTCAGCAACTAAGGTGATGCTGCACTCCGCGATCTGCTTGGATCTCGTGCTGTTGACGTTTGCCGATGTCTCTCAGCAGCAGGTAGAAGACCTTGCCAACGCTGCTGAGCAGGGTGCCGCCTGCGAGGTGGGTAGCTTGAAAACGACAGGTGTAAGTATGCGAAGTATACTAAGTCACTAAGTATACCAGGTACACTACGTAGATGTACATGAACAACCCCGTAAAGGCAAGAGTCGTCCCGACGAAAGTTTGTTGCGCTAAATCGCGCAAGCCTTGTTTAGAACTGGTCGAGTCGACATCATAGCTATGCATAGCTGCGCATATTCTCTGTGAAACTCTTTAAAGGGATCTATCAGGGTTTCTATCGGGGTACAAATTATATGGGCAATTCTCTAAATTAGGGTCCCTGTTAGGTTCCTTTTCATAGGGGTGACGCGCTATTATCGGGACCTTTGAAACCGACATCCATGTTTACCTCGTCTGGAATCCTCGCATCCCTGAGCCGTTCTCCCTCCAAGTTGTAAGCAGCTGTGTAGATCTGATTCGGGATCCGAAGCAGATCGCCTGCTCGTCTATTCAACTGATGTGGAGTCTGTTCTCAAGGACACACTTGGAGGTTCACTTGTAGTATAAGTCCCCTCATATGGCTTATAAATATAGCTACCCTACTTTAAACCCCACTTAGAACTACCCATGAACCTCCAAGCAAGCTCCTGCAGGATCCGATGCTGAGCCCTAAACCCTAAACCCTAAACCCTAAACCCTAAACCCTAAACCCTAAACCCTAAACCCTAAAACCATAACCCTAAACCCTAAACCCCCGCAAAAGCCAAGCCTCGGGTCGTCTGGCCAAGACTAGCATGCCTAAGGGTCCATGTAGCCGTTGGAGGGTTTAGGGTACCCTTACGGGTTTAGGGGTTTAGGGGTTTAGGGTTTAGGGTTTAGGGTTTAGGGTTTAGGGTTTAGGGTTTAGGGGTTTAGGGTTTAGGGGTTCATGTACTCGTATAGTTTATACATTAGCCCCAAAGTACCTATATAAGGATGACTTTAAGGCCAGAGTATCTACTTTTTGAATACATGGGCCCTTTGGGAATTAACGCCCAAGCAGCCTGAAGCGCAACCCAAGTTTGCAAACCCTGCAGGTTGAGTCCATGATGCAGCTGCCCCAAACCCTAAACCCTAAAACCCTAAACCCTAAAACCTTAAACCCTAAACCCTAAACCCTTAAACCCTGAACCCTAAACCCTAAACCCTTCAGGTTGAGTCCATGATGCAGCTGCCCCTAGATCCGGATTTGGTTGGTACCGGACAGCAGCCAGCTTTGACGATCGCTTCCATGCAGGGTCACATCGAAGTCGTGCGCTTGCTGCTGGAAGCCGGCGCCAGCCAAAACTTGGCCTGCAGCAGTGGCTACACAGCTTTGATGCTGGCATCTAGACAGGGTCATACAGAAGTCGTGCGCTTGCTGCTGGAGGCCAGTGACGACAAGAATTTGACCACCAACAACGGCTTCACAGCATTGATGCTGGCATCGCTGGTAGGTCGCATCGAAGTCGTGCGCTTGTTGCTGGAGGCCCGTGCTGACAAGAACCTGACCGCTAGCAACGGCTACACAGCTTTAACGATGGCATCTGGGTCAGGTCACATCGCAGTCGTGCGCTTGCTGCTAGAGGCCGGTGCCGACAAGAACTTGGCCGCAAACCGTTGCGTCACCGCTTTGATGCTGGCATCTAGGCTAGGTCATGTCGAAGTCGTGCGCTTGCTGCTGGAGTCCTGTTGCGACAAGAATTTGGCCGACAACAACGGCGCGACAGCTTTGATGATAGCATCGGGGCTGGGCCATGTCATCGTCGTGCGCTTGCTGTTGGAGGCCGGTGCCGACAGAAACTTGACCACCAACAGGAGCCAGACAGCGTTGACGCTGGCTTCTGTACAAGGTCATGTCGAAGCTGCGCAGTTGCTGGTGGAGGCCGGTGCCAACATAAACCTGGTAGCCAGCCTCGGCTCTACAGCTTTGATGATGGCATCTGCGTCAGGTCATGGCGAAGTCGTGCGCTTGCTATTGGAGGCCAGAGCCGACCAAGGCTTGTCTGACAGCCATGGCCAGACGGCTTTGAGGACCGCATTTAGGCAAGGTCATGCTGAAGTCGGGCGCTTGTTGGCCCGCAACAACCGCTTCACTGCGCCGTGCACTTGCAGCAGGGGTCTGTGGCATCTATGTTTCGAGTGCCTCAGGCCTATAGTGCTGATCTGCAGTGTCTGGCTACCAACCCCACCCGATGTCCCCACCGAGACAGCTCTTTTCTGCCGGAGGACATGAGACAGATTACTAGAAAGGGTAGGGGCCTTGCCTTAGACTTTTGAAAAGATGTTGTGTTTGATCTACCGAACATCCTTCCATCAAGGAGCATTTGCTATGGGGGCTTGGATAAGCATACTTAGTTGCAGCCTTTCTTCGGCTTCCCAATTTATCACGATCACACAACATACAACCTAAAGACTAGTCTGATTGTTGAGTCTCCAAAAGTTAACCAAGCCCTCGTAAAGCCCAACAACCCTATATCAAGCCAGGCTAACTCCGCTTGGCTGATAGACGTTTTATTCAACGGCCGGGTAAAACATCGAAACGCCCGCACCCTGCATCTGCGCGTCTTGCTAAAGAGTCCTTAAGACAGCCCTAAACACCAAAAAGCCCTAAACCCTAAACCCTAAACCCTAAACCCCTAGACATTAAACCTTTATGTGCACCGAACCATGAGGGCATAGGGGCCTTGTGACCTTGTATGAGGGTGCTTGAATCATTTCATGCACAGTTGCCGGTTTAGGGTTTAGGGTTTAGGGTTTAGGGTTTAGGGTGCCGTAGTAATTTCGATAGGACTTTGGGGTCCCATTTTGAAGCAGCCAGATACTACAGGGACGATGAGGGATCTCACTGCATGCTTCGACCTTTCTACTCGTAAACTCCTAAATCCTAAACCCTAAGCCCTCAACCCTAAACCCTAAACCCTAAACCCTAAACCCTAAACCCTAAACCCTAAACCCTAAGCCCTCAACCCCTAAAGCCTACTACGTTTCCCAAAGTTAGAGGATGGAGATTTGGGTGTTTGGGGTTTAGGGGTTAGGGTTTAGGGTTTAGGGGTTAGGTTTCTGAAGTGTTTGGGTGTGTGGAGTCTTAAGGAATAGGGTTTGGAGTAAGGGTTTTCGAGTTGTGGCTGTAGGCTTTAGGCTTTGATTGTTTAGGGCGTGGGGCAAACATGGCAGATTCGAAGAACGAGGAACCCCTCGCCCAGTATAATCTTGTAAACGCCCAAGAGAAAGATCCTCATTTCACAGTCACCATTCAACCCTTCAAAGAAGGGCCCTGAATACACTGAGGTGCTTATCCGTGAGCCATAGATTCCAACCTTGTCGTTTGCTGCCCAAGGAACTGGACTTAGCATCTCAGGGTCCGAAGCTTTCCGACTTAACACAAATAGGGATCTATCGGATTTCGTAAGGTTTCCGGGTTGAGTTCGGGTGCGGACGAGGCATTCTCACATTATTTGTAACGGTCAAGGTTTGAAAGCACTAAGTGGTGGTTGGTTTGGCTTACTAGGTCCTGCTGCTGTGGGCATGCCCTGGCCCTCTTTGCTCTTGCTTGCTGGATTCACCGTTTTGATTCTTGAAGATGCTGCAACTCAGAATGCTTTCCGGGGAAGCCGTGACGAGCATACCTGTGGAGGAGGTACAGGATGTCAAGGGCTTGAAGCAGCATCTGAATCAGCTGCATGGCCTCCCCCCGCGATTTAGGCAAAGGATTCTCTTCCGCGGCGAGACTTTGAAGGATACTGTGATGCTGCACTCCGCGATGAGCTTGGATCTGGTGCTGTTGACGTTTGCCGATGTCTCTCAACAGCAGGTAGAAGACCTTGCCGACGCTGCTGAGCAGGGCACCGTTTCCGAGGTGGGTAGCTTCGAAACATTATACTTGGAGGGTCATGGGACTTAGGGGTAAGTCCCTGAACCCTAAACCCTAAGCCGTCCTTAATTGGTGCCATAAGTAGTCGTAAAGTAGAACAAATACAGTCACCATATATAGCTTGTGAGCATCCATGAGGATGCCAGCAGTTGCCCCCTCCGTTTCCTCAACCCTACTCCAGCCACCCAATCCCCTCTGTTAGAACTTTGGGGCTTTTATCATTTAGGGATGTAGGGTTTTGGGTTTAGGGATTTAGGGTTTAGGGATTTAGGGTGTAGGGATTTAGGGTTTAGGGTTTAGGGTTCCGAGGAGTTACCAAGGCCCCTGCGTGAGTTCCTGACAGTAGCACTGGTCCTCGATCCACTGACTGCAGCCCTGCAGAGATCCTCTGTGAGTACTATAGGGGTTTAGGGTTTAGGGTTTAGGGTTTAGGGTTTAGGGTAGGGGCCTTAATAACTAGAATAGGCTTCTAGGGCCCACTATACTACCAGTATTCTACTAAGGAACCGCCAAGATAGTATTGGCAATGATTCAGGCCTCCAGAGTAGCCGGTTTGGGCTTTTGCGGGCTTGGAGGCGGGAGGGCATGCTTGGAGCTGCATGGGTATGCATTATATTACCCTAAGGGTCCAAAGGACCTAATAATCATGTACTTGGGTTACGGATAGTAGTTTTGTAGGTTAGTATTCAGAAGAGTATATGATTATTAGGTACTTGGACCCTTAGGGTTATAGCCACCATTATCTACCTGATCTAGAAAGTTTGTGATCCCATGTTCCTACAAGTTGCATGTATTCCGTTTTCGTGCCTACAAGAAGTACAAGAAGTTATAACTAATCGAAAAATACACTATACCCCATAACCTGCATTTGAATATAGATGAAGGCTTGGATATTATGCATGTATTATGAACGTTCCGAAGCATCGAATACTTCGGTACTTAGACTTTAGGATAGTAGTTGTGCAGGTTAGTCTTCTGGTGAATATAGGATTATTACTTGGACCCTTCGAGTAGCTTGCAGTACCCTAAAACTAGCCCTAAACCCTAAATCTTAAGGCCTAAGCCCTAAACCCCAAACCATCTTGCAGCACACCTTAACTTTGGATGC